AACGGCGCGCGCGGAAGAGAATTCTGGCGGAGAAAGGCAAAGCAGGCGGACCGTCTGTGGCGACGAACGTGCCACGTCGTGCTCTGCCATGCTACGCTTTGATCTTGAACGCCGTGCTATGCAATGTTATGTTCGGCGCCGCTGTGCGATGCCATGCTTTGCGTTGCAAAGATTTGTAATGCAATTCTGCACTGCGCCACGCCACGCCATGCTGTGACATACTACGCTTTGCGGTGCTCTTCAACGCCCTGCCACGCCGTGCTCTACAATGCATCGCGTACCCTTTCGAGATCATTGCCCTGCTCGACATCCAACTGTGCGAGTAGAGAGGGGATCTACGCCATGGTAAGGGATGGGAGGGAGGGGTAGGCTGTCATATATGAAGCCAGCGCGGAGGGGCGGACGATTAACAAAAACAGTTTCCGGCGGCTGAATTCTATTAGTCCGCCCCACTCAATCATTTTGGGGGGTCCGGGGGGGGGGGATGGGGAGAGGCGTTATATATATATATATATATATATATATATATATATATATATATATATATATAATATATATATATATATATATTATACATATATATATCAAAAAAAATCGCTTCCTCACATTAATCTCATGTTGGTCGCTTCCTACGTCCAGGGGCTCCCTTGGAGGCCCTGCGCAAGCCTCGGAATCGTATAGAAGGGGAGGTGCGGAAACGCAGAAATCATTACTTAATTTCCTTTTGGTATTCAACGATTTGAGGCCCTCAAAGGCTTCCTGGGTTTTTTGGGGGAGGTGACGGGGTCTGAATTGTGGTCTGTTGTGGAAGAGTAGACCGGGGGCCAAACTTCAAAAACAAAACAAACAAACAAAAACAAAAAAAAGACAGTGTGGGATTTCAATGTTTTCCAATTCCTCGGCGCTGTTCGGCGCTGTTCTTTGTTTGTGCCTCGGGGGTTTTGTTACTCAGGCCCCTCAGGGGTGTGGCTTCCGGACCCCCTGGGGGTTCTGGAGGCCTCCTGGAGGCCTGGAGAACCGTCGGAAGGGTGTCTCAGGCTGCGTGGGAGCGTGTTGGGCCGTTCTTTACGTTCTGGGGGCTCCTTGGGGTCGTCTTGGGCTGTCCTTGGGCGTGTTCAGGGCCCCCCGGGAAGCCGGGAGACGCGGCACAGGCCAAATGTCAGGGGATGTGCGGGATCTCCAAATCGGAGCCCCGCTTTGAAAAAAAACGGAATTCTGGGAACTCCTTTTCGCCAAAAAAAATGTTTCGTTGTTTGTTTGTTTTTATATAAAATATTTTTTTTTTTACAAAAAAAAAAAAAAAAAAAAAAAAAAAAAAAAAAAAAAAAAAAAAAAAAAAAAAAAAAAAAAAAAAAAAAAAAAAAAAAAAAAAAAAAAAAAAAAAAAAAAAAAAAAACGATCTTCGAGGGTCGGCAGCGGCCAGCAGGCCGCCCTCGCAGCGGCGCCGCCTGCCGCGCGCCGCCGCCAGCGCGACTGGCGCAGGGTTCGCCGCGGCGACCGGGCCCGCGCGGCGTCCGCCCTGGCGGCCGACGCCCCCGCTGGGCAGGTGGCGCAAGCGCCAGCCTGCCCGCGCCGGAGCGGCGCCGATGCGCCCGTCAGCAGTGGCGACATGCTGGCCGCGTTTTTCGCCAGGCGTTTTTGGTGGCCTCACGCCCCCGCGCGCGGACCCGGCCACGTCTTCTGCCCACGCTGCGGAGGCAGTGCGACGTCGGCAGCTGGCCTGCTGGGCAGCTCGTGCCCGGGCTGGCGGGAGCGTCTGCCAGCGCGGTGCCAGGCGGCGTTGCTCCTCGGCGAATTGCCCTGCGCGGGAGGCAGCGCGGAGGCGTTTGCATGCCTGGCTGCGCAATGCATCGCGCAACTCCCAAAACTCCTGGACTGAGCCTTTGGGTGGGGTCGAGCGCCGCGGCTGTGCGCGTGCTCGCGTCCGCACGTCAAAAGTACGGATGTACGAAGTGTCAGAAATATATTTGAGTGTGCAGATGTACGGTGTACGGATGTACTCGCGGGCCCGCACGGGGGAATCCTTACCACCCGCGCTTGGGCGTGGCCTCGCCGCAGGGCTGGGAGGAGCAGGACAGCTGAGAACTAATATGGTATAAGGATGCCCTGCTCGTTCTGGCGGGGCCCTCCTGGAGGGGCGGAAGGAACACGAATCCTGAGAACTAATATGGTATAACGATACCCTGATCTCTCTGGCGGGGCCTTCCTGGCGCTCCGGAAGGCGCCCGGCAAAGGCCGCAGAGCGCGCTGCCGCCAAACCAAGGATGTCGATTTGGGATCGCCCGAGATCTTCCTAGGCAGTGGTGGGCCCGCAGAGGCCCGGCCGAGGCCGCAAGGCGCGACGCCGCCCATGGACTTCGATTTCGGCCCCCCACACCGCCAGAGAGCTCGAAATCTACGTCCCTGGGGCGCAGACGGGGGAAAACTCGGGGCCGCCGGGGGCCCTGCCCCCCGACACCCGCCGCTCAAAAACGTGGATTTCGGACGCTCAGGCGCCAGGGAATCGGAGTTGGGCGGCGGAGTTCCTCCTGCGGTCAGCTTTTCAGGCGTTACCGTTACGGGGAAGGGGGAGGGGTCGGGGGGGTGTAAACGAATGTGTAAATACGAATAGGGTGCGAACCACCACAGGACAAATTAGTACAGCCGTAGGAATAAAGGATACTATACATACATAACAACGATTGTACTAATAACGCTGATACTCATGCCTAGAAAATAACAGATGCCACTGGTATATGGTCAGGCGGATAACAGAATTTGGTCTCGCCGCTCCCAACCACCGACCAACAATGTCTTGGCCGGGGATAATCAACACAGGAGGCTTAGAAGGGCGTATCATTAACCGTGCCTTCAACACACACACACACACACACACACACACTACATACATGTATACATACATGGTGTGAGCTGGAGATGGTAGCTATGCAGTGGAAGCTATGCTGTGCAAGTTATGCTGTGCAAGCTGTGCGGTGCAAGTTGTGTGGTGTAAGCTTCGTGGTGCAAATTACGCGGTGCAACTTAGCGCACGTGGCGCCCGTGAGCGCCCACGAAGCGGCACGGGCGGCAACGTGACGCAACCACGGCCGACGCACCCAGCGCACGGGGCGCCCACGAGTGCCCACCAGGCGGCGCGAGCGCCAACGTGGCGCAACCTCGGCCGGCCCACCTAGCGCACAGGGCGCCCACGAGCGCCCACGAGGCGGCACGGGCGGTAACTGCGCGCCACCTCGGCGTCCTCATACACCGCACGGGGCGCCCACGAGCGTCCACGGCAACGTGGAAAATCCTCGGCGAACCCGTCCAAGTGCTGAAGGAACAAACGCAAGGACCCCTTAAGTGCAAGCACTCTTTGAGGAACATTTTGCGTTTTGCGCTCTAGGCGCATCAGGACGCGACTAGAGACTCCCGAGAGTCTGCGTCGGGCCGAATATGGCTTGAGTGTGTCTGGGGGGCCAGGTCTGCAGAACATCCTAAACGGACGTCAAGGGGCGCAATCAACATGTTCGGTCAAGCTGAAACTGATGCAACACACCTGGCGTCAAGCCCTCAACTTTGGACATAAACGAGTGCTTGGATTTCGCACATCTTCGTCGGCTTAACCGGCGAGGCGTCGCTTTACCACCTTGACGTCGCATTGTGGGTGGTCCTGCAGAGGAATGCGCTCTCTGACCCTCGGCCCTACTCAACAGATGGCCCAAATGCTCCCGCATGGCCCCGCGATGGGCCTGAAAAGCTCCAAGCTGGCCCAATAAAGACCAAAGGTAGTCCCCAGGAGGGCCTGAAGATCGTCCAAGGTTGCCGCTGGACGGCTCAACCCTGTCAACGAAATCGCACAGATGGATGCCACGAACCCCCACAGAGGATTCCACAAAACTGCGAATCCATAAGGAGGGGGTGGCAGCGGCACATGGGTGACCCTCTGGATTGAACAGGTCAAGCGCATCGTCATCATTCAGAATCTTGATGGTCTCGGTGAGGGCGGCGAGCTCGTCGTGACGCGTCTTCACGCGTTCCTCGTATTCCTTGTCCTTCGTAGAGCAGCCCGATTCCAACTCTTGGAGGAGCTTCTGATCCTCGAGCAGCGCAATTTCCGAATCGCTCATATCATTCCTCATCTGGACGATGGTCACGCCCAGCGACCCGCTCTTCGAGGTCTTGGCCTCGATGGACATTGTAAGTGCGTCGATCTCTTTGGCCTTTGCGGCGACCAGAGCCTCGAACTCCTTGATTGCGTTGGCCTCCGTGTCAGAGGCGTCTGAAAGGCTCTTCGAGAAACTGTCGCCCATTTCCTTCAGAATCCCTGTCACCTCCCCGCTCTGGGGCACGTACGACGAGCTGTCCTTCCCAGACAGGAATGAAAGGAGCGCCTCGCGGTCTTCGTCCTGGATGGCGTCGCCCTTGGTCAGGACGATCTTGCGCAACAAGCTCGCCGAGGTAGTTTGTAGGAATCCACCCGCCATTCCCTTGGTCAGCGCGGCGACTGCCTGCTTGATGGCGGAGATGTAGCTCTCGAGCTCTGCCTTTGTTGCCGCGAACCCGGCGGCCTCCTTCCCCCGGATCGAGGTCGCCTTGGCGACGGCCGTCTTGGCTTCAGCACGCTCCGTCTGCGCATCCCCCAGCCCCTGCTTCACCTGGGCGAGCTGCTCCTCCGCTGCCTTCACGTCGGAGCCAAGCTGTGTGCTTTTCGTGCCCGCAGCGGAGATGCTTGCCGACAGATCGGTGGCCCCCGTCTTGCAGTAGCATGAGAATCTCTTGTACATCTCTTCCTCCTTGTCGCCTTCCGCCTCAACCTTCTTCTGCATCGACTGCAGCATCGAGACAACCCTGCGCACTGGATTTGCGGCCGCCCTCGTGTTCGACCGCAAGGAGGCGGCATGCGCGGTGGCCGGGCATGCGACCAGCAGCAAGGCTGCGAACTTGAACGCGGCCATCTGGGAGGCGCGATCAGACTGCGTTAGTGTCTGATGGGGCAAACGTGACCTGTTGAGCCAAAGAGGCTGCGTGTGGAACCCGTTGCTTCTTCTCCACCTCGAGGATTGGGGATGCCCCGACGGAACTGCATGGTCTCATAAAGGTCTCTGGCTCCAGGGGGGAAGCGCGGCCGAGGAGAAGGTAGAGGAGGAGGACAAACTAGGTGCGCTCGCGCAATACCCGACATCCTACCCCTCCCACCCATCCCTTCAAATTGCCAGCCGGTGTGTCCTCGATGACTTCGATCCCACAAATAACCCGACTGTGTGATGTGACCTCTGATCTCACAAGTGGTGCCTTGTACAGTGGGCGAGGAGGAGGGATGATAAGGCGATGAGCATGAGGACGACCAGGACGAAGCACAGAACAATGAGGAAGCATGAAGGGGGAGCATGAATAGCAGGAGGGTAGAGAAGCAAGACGACCGCTGGAAATCGGAGGGTAAACGATGGGGTCGGCAACGACGAGGGACGAATCGGATCCAGCCATGTATCCCTCGATGGGACGAGAGCACGCATCTGAACGGCCAGAGCAACACGCCGGCGGCCAACGCTGCAACGGCAACACCATGTTTAAGGGACCGAGAACGCCGGAAAACCAGATCGGATCGGAGTTCAACTCAGGACAGTCCAGTGCAACAGAAAAACGATATGCGGAATGGGCCGAGGAAATACGAACTCCATAAGGGAATATGGGAGAATAGCACTCACACTGAATAGTCATGGAGGTGAACAAGAATTTTTGCTTGCTCAGAAAACGGAGCCATTGCATACACAGAAACATTCGGGGGCCCGCACGGATTTCTCGGATCTGCTTTGGACCCCCCTTCCCTGGTGCGCGGAGCGCGCCAGGGGCGGCGCTGGAAGCGACGCCAGAAGGGCTTAACGCAGATTCAAGAATTCCGCGAGAAGTTTCGAACATCTATGTTTGTGTTATTTTGTCTTCTTCGATTGACGCATGCCCAGCACCTGGAAAGGCGGGAAAAGGTGAACACCCGATTGGGCAGCAGCAAATTCGGGAACTGGGGAGACTAGCGCGGTGAGGCTCACGAAGCGCCGCGCGTCTGAGGCAAGGCTCCTGACTTCGCGCCCACCACAGAGGCACCCATGGGGGCACCCTACCACGTTATACCTCTGAAAGACCTCCCGATGTATGATTTGGGGGCCAATCGAAGCCTTCTGGGAGAAACATCTCCCGCTAGCTGAAACCATCTTGGAGGCCATCTCGGCGCATCGGGGGCCGGGGGCCGTCTTGAAGCCATCTTGGGCCACCTTGGCCTTGGGCGCTTTACCCCTTCCATCCGGCAAGCCTCCAAACCCAAGGGAACGGTACCGCTCTGTGACTAGGGGAAGAAAGGGCTTTGGAACAACGGAGAGAAGTCCCGTTTTACCACCTGTGCCTCAAAGGCTGGTGGAATTCGTTCAATTCAACTTGGTTTGCGCTCAGCCTGGAACACATCCCAAGCGATACGCAGTGGACGTAATGTTTGAAGCTGCGGAGACATCTCAGACATGTTTGGGCCTCGCACTCTTCAACGACACCCATGAATGTGACCTGGCGCCAACATTTTGCAGTGGCAATCCGCCACCATGCCTCGAGCACACAGTTGAGTGCCCCAAGGCTCGCAGCTGGGCTTCTGCTGCGAACGAGAGGCCCACCGGTGTTCTGGGCCTTTCCGGGCCCTCCAGGGGTGTCCCCCGTGAGTGCTGGAGTGTTTCGTGTTGGTCATCTGGACGCTGCGCCGCCCAAAAGAATCTCCCGAACCCTACGACGTGTCCAAAAGGGCTTCGATTCGCTGACAGGTAGTTTGAAGGGGGCTGGGAGGCCCCGCCAACAGCTTCGCCTCAGGCGAAGCCAAGCCCCATCTCGGTTGCATCGTAGTAGCGATAATCCCAATGCAAAAGGGGAAGCCATGTCAAGTAAAAGTGGATGCCTTTTAGTAACGATTGCGATAGTATGCCTCGCGATGAGGCACAGTCAAATCTAGGCGGCCGGCCGCTTGAACCAAGACGGCCGCGGGCGCGCGCTTGCTTCCGCTCCTTGCGTTCCCCAGCTCGCTTTAGAGTAGGGGGGGAGGGGGACGAAGCGTGCGTCCGCCACCCATAAAGCGAGAACATGTCAGCAGCTAGCCTATACGAATACAGGAAAGGAGACGGACCCAAAGGAGTTGGACCCGTCAGCAAGTTGCCTCGCGAATGTGGGGCATACGCATCAGGCGGCGTCAGAACTTGATGGCTGGCCGGCCCGATATGGCGCATGTCTCTTCAGGTCATGTTTGAAGGTCGGTATACCTCCCATGACTTGTAGGAGCATGTCTCTGTCAATGCTCCCTTTTGTGTGTCCATCCGCAGTCATAGCGCGGGTATCACACCACCGAATGCTATGCACGATTCCGCGCTCCATCATCTGTCGTAGCCAACTTATGTGTCCTAAAAGGGTACACTCAGTCGGCTTCTTCAAGTCTTTGCTGGACAAGGACTTCAATGCAGAGTCAGCATCGATGGCCAAAGTGACCTTGGTGCACAGGCCACCCAACTCAAGTACGTCTTTCAACTGAGTGGGTGGAAGTGGCCCCGCATGGAGCTCGTGCAGAGTCACAATCGTGGGGTAACAGTCCACCAAATAATGGGCTGCTGCAAGTGTCTCTGCTGAGTAGCTTGGGCGGGCTTGCAAGCGGCGAGACTTGCAGTGCGCATCAATCAAATGAGCGACAGGCTTGCCAGATAACGTGTCTCCACGTCGTAGCAGGTTTGCCCCGCGAATGCCATAGCCTTTGACGCCGCCATCGGCGTCTCCACTCAGGCGTCGATAGCCTGAGTCGCTATGTAAGTCGACCTCGCCCGCGGGGTTCATCGCCTGGTAGACTATCTTTTTTTTCGGGCAGGCCTGTAGCTTTCTGGCGATCGCGTCCAATCGTCGCACTTGAATACTGGTCGGTTCTAGGACGCGCTGGAGAGATACAACATGGACCATCAGCCAGATCTGGGTGATCACTGCGCATGCCAGCGCACCTCTGAGGCTGACGAACATATCTGCCACCATCTTGGTCGCTCGAGCGTCAGCGTCCACGCCGGTCAATTCAAGATGTTGTATATGACGGAGTTGTTTAATGTATTCACATTGATCCAAAGTGACGTTGCCGTCCTCGTCATTGGTGTACCTCACAGCACGGTTCGTATATGTGTGCTTGTTGAGCTTACACTTACCATAGGTATCCTCAACGCATTTAACATTATTGTCAATAGTGTCCTCAGTACTTGCCATGTTAATGACATCAACATGCTTGGCCGTGAGCAAGTTGTTGATCGTCTCGAACTCCTCGTCGTAAGACGTAGGTCGGAGGCCAACTCCTGTAGTGGCTCTCCTGAGCTTAAGCGAGAAAGCCCGTGGGGCGCCATCAGTGCTTGTGCCCGGTTTCAAGCACTCCAGACAATGCTTTGACTCGTCGTAGTTCTCAAATCCTGGAAGAGCACGGAGCACAGTTGCCGATCCAGGCAGCGAAGTAAAGCACACCGCAGGTTCCTTCTCGACCTTGTCGTTTTTAACGAATCCCACCAGCCCTCTGGGCGTAGGTGGTCTAGAGCAGATCCTCTTCCACCCCTCCCTCTTCCCCCTTGGGGAGGGGTTTACCCCTCCCCCTACCCCCTCCCCTGGACCTGGACGGGGGGGGCCGCGGGTAGTTAGAGCGTCCAAGATGGCCCAAGACGGCTCCAAGAGCGCCTCAGAGAACCCAAGATGAGCTCCAAGATGGCTCAAGATAGCGCAAGATCGCTCACGATGGCTCCTAAGATGGTTCCAAGAAGCCCAAAGACGGCCCCAAGATAACTCCAAGTGGCCAAACAGCTCCCCAAGGAGGCCCCGAAGAGGCCAAAATCGTCCCAAAACCTAAGGAAAATCAATGATTTTTGCTTTCTCGCCTTTTCGCTTCCGATGGCCATCCGAGGCCTGGAGATGGCTCCAAGATGGCCCAAGAGGGCCCCAAGAGAGCCCCAAAAGAGCCCCAAGACGGCCCCAAGAGCGCCCAAGAGCACTCCAAGAGCGTTCCAAGAGGGGTCCAAGAGGCGATTTTAGGGGCTTCCGAGGGGGGACGCTAATTAAACCCCCCCTCTTGTTTGATCGACTCCCTCCAAGATGGCCCCAAAAGCGCCCCGAAGGCTCCCCAGAGCGCCTCAAGAGGGTCCCAAGAGGCGCCCAAGATGCCCCAAGGCGCCCAAAAAGCCCTCCAAGAGGCCCTCAAAAGACCCCCAAGAAGCTCCTTCCCCTCCTCCTCCTCCTCCTCCGATTCTTCCTCCTTCTCCGTCCTCCTCCTCCTCCTCCTCCTCCTCCTCTTCCCCCTCCTCCCTCCTCCTCCTCGACGACGACGACGACGACGACGACTCCTCTTCCATCCTCCCCCTCTCGGGGTCTGTGACAGCTTCCCCCGCCCTTTGTTATTCTGCATGCTCCCCGACTTCCCTGATCACCTCAACTCCCCTGAGCATCGTTTCTGGATGGGCTGGTGGGGATACGCGAAGCGTCAACAATTTGAATTTGTATACATATCTCGAAGTCATGATGTTCGGCGCTGCGGCGATTCCTGCATTTTGAAGCATTTATTGTCGAACCATGTCTTGTTGAGTTCGGTGAGAAAAGGGCCTACGATATTTTCTTGGGATTCGCCTGGATGTCAGCCTGAGCGAGGAGGTCATCTGCCTTGACGACCGCAGCTCGCTTTGCAGCGGCAACAACATATACTCGCATCGTGGTCACCCGGTCGGCGTCTAACAGCATTTGCTGCTGCTCGGACAAGACTACCTTTGACATCCCTGTTGTAAAGCAGAGTTCAACGCATGGGCCGTTTTCGTCAAAGTCGAGTCCATAGCTGTCGTCTTCGACCAGGGTGCACAAGGGAGCGGAGTACGTTTGATCGGCATCAGGATCACGAGTGCGCCCCCACTTCGGCAGGTGTCCCCGCTGTTCATCAGCTACAGTGATCAACGCACTCTGGTCAGGAACCATCTGTGTGGGTACGGTAAAGAGTTCTTCT